AAGACTGGTTGGACACGCACCTCCACTCTTTCCTATCCTGAGCTAATCTTTGCATTTCCCTAAAACTGGAACATCCCACATCCTTAACTATTTGTGAATTGTAATCTAATCTAAGTCGACCTCTACTCCTCTTAACTCCTGTTTCTGCCTCTAATATGTATCTGACTAGATCATATAGGAAATGTTTTGGAAAAATATACATGTATTTTACACATTTTGTGTATGTAGACTACGTGCCTGAAAAAAAAAATACTGTGCGGAAAAATATGATGCATCGTGATGATATATATATATATATATATTAAAAACCTTAAATTATTTTTACATCCTGTATATGAGGCTGTAGTAGATATATATAATCACAAAATAAAAAATCGTTCTTTTCCTTACCTAAAATAGGCAAATTTAACCATAATTTTAACCCACTCCTAACACCGTAATTTTTCTTTTATTAAGTACCTATCTCCTTTAGCAAGATCATCCCACCACAGTACTACATGCATTTAAACCTTCGTTTTCATTATCCGACATATCCTTTCTACCCTCTTCATCCAATATTTACAGCCTTTAATTTCACGTATTTCACATATCCTTTCTACCTTCTTCATTCAATATTTACACCCTCTAATTTCACATATTTCACATATCCTTTCTACCCTCTTCATCCAATATTTACACCCTCTAATTTCACATACTTCACATATCCTTTCTACCCTCTTCATTTAATATTTACACCCTCTAATTTCACATATCTTTTTTACCCTCTTCATCCAATATTTACACCCTCTAATTTCATATATTTCACATATCTTTTTTACCCTCTTCATCCCATATTTACACCCTCTACTTTCAAATATTGCTCATATCCTTTCTTCCCTCTTCATCCAATATTTACATCCTCTAGTTTCACATATCCTTTTTATCCTCCTCATCCAATATTTACATCCTCTACTTTCATTTCCCACTCTAAATCTTGGTATTACATCCATCTCTTTTTTCTCCCTTAAATACCTCATCTTAGTACATCATTTCTTCTACCCATTCTGCCTCATACTTCCCTAAAGTTAATAAACTTCGTCTTACTAGTATTCAGCTCCAATCTCTTCCTTCCTGAGTACCTTTCCAAAACCTTCACCATCACTTTTAGAACTCCATGATTCGTGGATACCAAGGCAATATCATCCCCGTGTTTGGCACGCTAAATTAGATTGATAAGTTCATGATTTGTACCAAAATTATGCATTTCTAAAAATAGCTCTTCAAATTTAAGAATATCTTTTAAAGTTGCGATCCCATTGTTGCCTGCATGTATATTTCGTTAGACTGTATGAAATGCTGAAGTTATAAATTAGTACTTACGTCCACAGTACATTCTTAATAAATGGTTAATTTGAAGGCTGGCATAATTTTACTAGAAAATAATTGACAAGGAAATAGGTTTGTTTATGTTCTGATAAAATCAATATTTATTTTAGTTCCAGATGGTTTTGGCTTTCCTTTTTGGAGTCCTGGATGCTGTTCCGTGGACGTCCCATATAGGAAGAGATGAAATGACCAACAAGTCATAGCCACACCGGTAAGTGTTTCTCAATTGTTCTAGAAATTTTTTTAATTTCGTAATTCTTATATATACAAGCCGAATTTACATCAAGAGATGATAGGAACTTGGTAGGATTTATTAGAGAAAAATCTAATAGTATATAAATAATTATTACAATGTCTGCAATAATAAATTTTAAAATGAAAATGATTTATATCTAAACATTAATTGATTATTTAAACACAATCAATTGTATAATTGTATGAATAAAGTATAAATATGTTTTAGGTACATAAATTTACTTTTAATGATAATTATTTTATTAGCTTTTTCATTCAATAATATTATACATTGTACATGTGGTTGTTAAGTATTTACAACAGGATTTATTACTTTATTTATACAATTGCAGTTTTTAAATCTTAAATTATAGCCCTGATAAAGCCTCGTAACAGCATGGGAAACGTTGGTGTGGCTTTATAAGTAGGTAATAAACTTTCACAACCCTAATCTTGTCTCTGAATTACGCATATGAAAATTCAGATAGGGGAAGAAAAGTGAACTGGAGACCGCAGCTGGAAGGGTTTGAGCAAGGAAAATATGAGGAACGNAAGGAATAGTCAAAGTATGATAGTTAATAATAATATATTTTGTTACAGTTATTTGGAATGGAATGAAGGGACATGGAGGAGACCCAATGGGACGGACTCGCTGGAAGGCAAGAAGAAATAAAGACAGATTGGGGCTGAATGGGTGAGTTAAATCAATTATTCATGTAACACCGTAGTGTTATTCATAAAAATTCTTCTATTGTATTAAAAATTATTACACATTTATGATGGGACTTTTGGTAGGTGGAAGAACCTAAACCATACTTGCAATGTACAATTTTTAATAGGGCCGTTTTTCTTTTCAACCTCTGATAAGTTATACAATAAAATCCAGGTCAATATAAAAACAAAGTTTTATTATTTAAGTTAATGTACACTTATTATATTTATTTTTCAACAAAATCACCTTGACGATAGAGACTACAACTTAGCATCTTAATTATTCAGTTTCTATGTTATCTTAGAGTGGTCTAGATTATTGATGTGTGTGTCATTAAAAGTAACCCTCTTCGGAATTAATGAACATACAATATTAATTATAATAATTTTCGAGTTAATGGAATTCGCAATGGTTCCTGTAATATACACTGCCAGCGCCAGTGCCAATGCGTTCTTTCTTCTTTTTTCACAGTTGATTGACCCTCTACTCTTTGGCTAATATGTGTGTTGTATGTCCACAATTTTCCCATAAACTGTTTAATGAATTTGAAAATTGCTTCACTTGTGTAATCAGCGTAATGCTACCTACTACATTTTTTAAAGTTAATATGACGCCTTGCACCTCCACCATATTTTACTAATTTTGATTATCCTGAAATTATGAATATTAATAAGGTCCAATTTCTGCTCCAAAATATGGATAATCATCATCATAAGGTCGTAAATCCTAAGGCTGGTTAGACAAGCAACTCCACTCTTTCTTATCCTAAACTAATCTTTGCATTTCCCTAAAACTGGAACATCCCACATCCTTAACTATTTGTGAATTGTAATCTAATCTAAGTCGACCTCTACTCCTCTTAACTCCTGTTTCTGCCTCTAATATGTATCTGACTAGATCATATAGGAAATGTTTTGGAAAAATATACATGCAAGAAGAAAAACCTAATTTCGACGGCAATTCTAAATAACCCAAAAATGAAGCTTTTTGAAGTATTTTGTCCATTAAATTCCGTAGTTTTGATTAATAGAAAATGCTGGAAACAATTTGACTTTTCAATATATTGTAAATTTAACTTTCCATTGTGAAAAGGATAATAAAATATCGCTTCTATCCTTCCTTGTTAATGAGAATGTTAGATAAATTACGAAAAGATAAAGTATTTAGTGTTAATTACAAAAAAACATGTCAAGTCAAGCGTTTTCAATTTATCAATTTGAAAATTATTTTACTAGTAAAATCAGTGTATTGCTACTACAATTTTTAAAGTGAATATGACGCCTTGCACCTCCACCATATTTTACTAATTTTGATTATGAATATTAACAAAGTCTCCAAAATATCGATAATATAAGAAATATTTTTAAAAATTTACATGCAAGAAGGGAAACTATTTCAACCGCAATTCTATATAAGCCAAAAATGAAGTTTTTTGAAGTATTTTGACCATAAAATTCCGTAGCGTATAGATTTTCATTTGACCATAAAATTCCGTAGCGTATAGATTTTCATTTATAGAGAATGCTGGAAACAATTTGATTTTTCTATATACTGTAAATTTAACTTTACATAGTAAAAAGGACAATAAAATATTGCTTCCATCCTTCCTCGTTAATGAGAATAGTAGATATATTACGGGAAAATAAAGTATTTAGTATGATTTGCAAAAAAAAGTGAACATTTTAATTATATTTCAACCAATGTATATATGATGAATAAAAACCACTGGATGTATGCATGTACCGAATGTTTCACCAACTTATTTTACTCTAGCATATGTTTTAGGCTATAATAAATATCAGTTTTTAATATAAACCTCTTGATAATGGTATTACAACTAAAAGATATGTTAGAGAAAGCATACAAGTCAAGTGGTTTTAATTCATTAATTTGAAATTTGTTTTAATAGTAAAATCAGTGTATTGCTACTACATTTTTAAAGTGAATATGAATGCCTTGCACCTCCACCATATTTTACTAATTTTGATTATGTTAAGTATTTACAACAGGATTTATTACTTTATTTATACAATTGCAGTTTTTAAATCTTAAATTATAGCCCTGATAAAGCCTCGTAACAGCATGGGAAACGTTGGTGTGGCTTTATAAGTAGGTAATAAACTTTCACAACCCTAATCTTGTCTCTGAATTACGCATATGAAAATTCAGATAGGGGAAGAAAAGTGAACTGGAGACCGCAGCTGGAAGGGTTTGAGCAAGGAAAATATGAGGAACGGATTACGCCAACGGGAATAAGTTTTCGTAGGCGTAAATAATAGAAAATAGATGTTGCCAGGCAATCCCATTCAGCATATTATTTTTTTGGCACTACGTGCGAAGGAGGGTGTAGATTACGTGGCTAGAAGTAAAATTCTAATGTAACAAAAACAAGCCATATACCTATATTTAGTTAAAAGAGGTTTATCATCCCTAAAGTCAATAAATAGTACTTACCTGTTGAATCTTGTTAATTAGAGTGCAATGTCAAAATCTGATTTTTTGCAAAAACACGTCGGCCCTTATTTCCCCAGTTTATTCACGCCATACGACAGCGGGAATATTGTAGTCGAAATAGGAGGCTTTCAAAAAGTTTCAAAACGTTTGGACTATATGGAGGTCTATTGTATGGTTACTTTTTAAAATTATTTTGATATTTTGCAAGGTGTCCCATAAGCTCCAAACAGTTTTTTTAAATGGAACCCCTTGCGATTATGGTATTTTTGGATTCTGCGATCAAAATAAATCTCAAAGAAATAAGGATATTCGTAATATGGAATGTATATAAAAAGAAATAAAATAAATGTATTTTAATAAGGTTTATAATGTGTANTAATCTATGAATCTTAACTGTAGGAAATTAACATTAAGTGTTTTTATATTTTAATTCTTAGGACCAGATATACTTAATTTCTTGTTTTTACATTTTGATAATTATTTAGTCTTTGTTAATTTGTCTCACTTACGGACAATTTTTCAACTGTAAATATTTTCTTTCTTAATTGCTACTTACCTTTTTCATCTTTGTGTATTATTAGCAGTTTGTTTTATTTTCAGGGAAATTTAGGCTCAAATATTAGCATAAATTAGAACAATTATTTTTATTTTCATAATTTATTAATTTATGAAGCCATATAGGTGTATATATATATATATATATTCTTCTTTAGTATTTTACCATTTATTGATATTGAACATTGAAACATTTCTCCTTTTAGAAATAAGCTAATTTTGTAAGCAATAATAAATATTTAATTAGGATATTCTCATTTTATAATTTTACTTAAAGTATAATAATCTTATCTTTTTGTTACAGCATCTACGTCCCATCATCACCATCAGGAGCTGGTTCACCTGGACGTCGACGTCGACTTCAACCACCGGGCAATCGTAACGGACGCGAGTGTTTCGGGAGTGTACTGGAGCGTCCAGATTCGAATCTGGAAGCATCCAGTACGCGGAATCTCGGGAGTTCCGGGATCCTGAGTTTTGGAAACTTCGAAAACCAAATCTCGGGATCTCCATAACTATCTTTAGTTATGTCCCGCAACTTCCGAAGTTTCGTGTACTGGGGGCTTTTAGTTCGAATCTGGGCCTCCAGCTTCCGGGGTCGTCCCGGACGGTCTTCGAATTAACAAAACCTTCCGCGCTAAACCTGGTAGACGTGAAAAATTCATTTTTGTCTTTTTAATAAATAAAACAAATTAAGCTTTGCCATGTCTTTTATTTTGTTTGTCTCTCCCCTCCCCTGGTTACGGCCCCCCGCGGCCCCTGGGGCACATTCACACCCCACTCCCTCACGCACACACCCACTCACTCTCTCGTTCATACCCTCACTCACTCCCTTGAGAATCGGGATGAGAGTGAATGCAGGGAGCACTCTCGCATTCATTCTCATCCCCATTCTCACCTCAATCACTCTCTCATGCACACCCTCATCCACTCTCACGCACACACCCACTCACTCCCTCCCTTGAGAATGGAGACGAGAATGAATGTAGGCGAGCAATCCTACATTCATTTTCATCCCCATTCTCACTTCAATCACTCTCTCATACACCCTTGTCACACATTTATACCATCAGTCACTCTCTCATACACACCCCACTTTCTTTCACGCTTCATAATGGGGGCGAAAATGAATGCAGGGGAAGCCTTTACATTCATTTTCACTCCCATTCTCTCCGCGTACAACCCTTGCATACATTTACACCTTCAACCATTCTCTCATACAATTATACTCTCTGTTACACTCTCATGCATCCCTGTCATACATTTACACCCTCTTTCGTTCTCTCATGCAGCCCTCTCACACATTTATACTCTCTTCCACTCTTATACACCCCCTATTCCATTCACGCTTGATAATGGGGGCGAAAATGAATGCAGGGGAAGCCTTTACATTTATTTTCACTCCCATTATCTCCGCGTACAATCCTTGCATACATTTACACCTTCAACCATTCTCTCATACAGTTATACTCTCTGTTACACTCTCATGCACCCCTTTCATACATTTACACCCTCTTTCGTTCTCTCATGCAGCCTTTTCACACATTTATACTCTCTGCCACTCTTATATACCCCTTATTCCATTCACGCTTGATAATGGGGGCGAAAATGAATGCAGGGGAAGCCTTTACATTTATTTTGACTCCCATTATCTCCGCGTACAACCCTTGCATACATTTACACCTTCAACCATTCTCTCATACAATTATACTCTCTGTTACACTCTCATGCACCCCTTTCATACATTTACACCCTCTTTCGTTCTCTCATGCAGCCCTCTCACACATTTATACTCTCTGCCACTCTTATTAACCCCTTACTCTTATTCGCACTGGATAATTACTCTCAGTTACACTCTCATGTACCCCTCTCCTACATTTATACCCTCTGTCACTCTCAAACACGCCCTAGTTTCATTCACATTTGATACTGGGGCGAGAATAAATGTAGGGAGCACTCCTACATTTAGTCCCATGCCCTTTCTCACGTATATCCTTCTCATACATTTATATCTTCAATCACTCTGTCATGCACCCCTTTCATACACTTACACTCTCTGTCACTTTCTCATGTACCGTCTAACTCATTTATAGCCACTGTCACTCTCTCTTACACCCTTTATTCTCATTCTCACTAAATAATTGGGGCAAGAATGAATACGGTGGAACACTCCTACATTCATTATTACCCCCATTCTCGCCACATACGACCCTCCAAACATTTATACCCTCACTCTCTCATATACTTATACCCTCTGTCACACACTCATTTTCGACACGAAGACACTTGCATTCCTTCATTCGTCCGATATTCACCCTCACAATCATTCGTACACTTTATCATGTTCACCCCCCTTTCTAACACATACCCGCTCTCCCATTCACACTTCCTCTCTGACAGTCAAATCAGCCCTACCATTTTCACCCTTACTCCTCATTCTTGCACTCTCAAGCATTCGACTCTCTTGCTTCAACTTTCACCCTTACGTAACTATCATGCTTTTTCACATACTTCATTAACTCATTCTTTAGCAATCTTTTTCACAATCATTCTTTCAGTCTCTCCCCAAAATAAATCCCCATTCCCTTTTGTTTATTACTATTGTAATATTTAAATCAATAGCATATCGTTAAAGATAAAATATACATGGTATGTGATAAATAATGGAATAAATAATTTTATCCTAACTAATTTAAAAATAATCCAATTATCTAAATAAGCCTAAACATGACAATATTCGTTCCTACAGTAACAATTAGTAGGTACCTACTTAATTTATTACAATACTTGTTCCTATATTATTTATTTAATTATAATAAATGTACTGTAATGTAAGTTATAATTGTCTTAAGATATGTATTACATAATAAATTATTGATTTAAAAGTGGATTTATTGATTTTTCCTGTCCTGTCTCATAAAAGTTTGTAAACTTTCATAAATTATTTAACATTTACCTATTAAAATTACTAAACAGAAACAATAATCTGACTTTATAATGAAGCATGTAATATTTTGATAAATAACTTAATTAAAAAAGAAACAGAAGATATTAACGTAAACAATAAGAAATAAATTACACGAAAGAAATAAAAAAATGAGATTTTATAAATGTAAAAATGACACACAAGATAATTAATTAAAAAAAAAATATATATGTAACTTGNAATGGTTAATACATCAAATATTAAAGTAAAAATTCATTTTTCACTTATACCAACTATAAATTACCTCAAGTTAATGAGGAAATTTATAATTGGTATAAGTGGAAAATGAATTTTCACATTTATATTTAATATTGTTTAATTTAAGATATGAATGTATGAGAATATCTCCTCTCAAATAGACCACTAATTTTATTTCTACAGATTTAATTAAAAAAAAAAAAAGAAAAAGTCAAAGGAGAAAAAGTAAAATAGACGTATAACCAAAAAAAATGTAAATAATTATAAATAACAAAAGTAAAAGTTATAATGTATGAGAACTTACGAATTAGAGAAACGGAAGTTATTTACCTTCGGTTTTGTTTAATAAATCCACTTTTGTTCACATACGTTCAAAAAATATTTAAAATGTGCTAATAGGAATACCAATTTACGTAAAATAATTACATAGATATTTATAAGACTCAAAACCAATTCATTTTTCTACTTCGTGGGGAAGGAAGTGGTATAACTCCATCATGGTTTGAGGACGAATCCAGGTATCAGCACAATCGTCACCGTCTTAGGTACCTGAAAAAGATAAAAAAAATCTTAATCTTCAAAAGCGATTAAAATGAAAATGTTGTCGTTATGATTTAATATGAATAGTATAAAGTATAGATAATAAGAATTTTCTATACATAATAAATTGAAACAATAGGATCAATCGAAAGGACACATCTTTGATTTCCAGTGGCGTGCCTATGGGGATTTACAACGTGTGATGCAGAATTTCATAACATTGCTTATACATAAATTCGTTGGAGTACGTGTTCGACGGTTTTACCCCCCATTTCTGTTGTAACGTGTTGTACTTACAATTAGTATAGTTAGCATGGGTTAAAAAAAAGTGCAAAATGATAGAAAACAGTTACACGTCATTAGATCAAGAATTACTTTTGTACAACAACTCATTTTATTTGTATATATTTAACTGAAACGAACCAGAAAAAATCAAAGTAGAAAAAGCAAAATAGACGTACAACCAAAATAAAAATAGAAATAATTATAAATTAAAAACTCACGAATTAGAGAAGCTGAAGTTATTTCCCTTCGGTTTTGTTTAATAAATCCACTTTTCTTCACATGTTTTATAGAATAGAATTATTTAAAACGTGAAGTAATTACATGGATGTTTACAAGACTCAAAACCGATTCATTTTCCTACTTCGTGTGGTAGGAAGTTGTAGAACTCCATCATGGTTTGAGGATGAATCCAGGTATCAGCACAATCGTCACCTTCTTACCTGAAACAAATAAAAAAGTTTCTTGATTTTCAAAATCGATTAAAATGATTGAAAGAACTTACCATTTCACGCACGCCCAATTAGTACAAGATCCAACCATTACCATACATCTGAAACAAAGAACATAAATCTAGAAAATCAGGTAAGTGTTTAAAATTAAGCAAAAACTAGCATTTTCATATTTATTCAGAAAACTAATACGTCTATGTCCTCCGACGCATAAAAAATCCTTAAAATGAAAATAATCAGTCAAAAATTATTTTGATGTGGTGGATTCTTCCGCAAGTTCCAGACGTTTCGTCGTTCCTTCCTGATGACATTTTTAGTGGTGACTTGGCACAGTGACGAAGAATGACGAAACGTCTGGGACATCAAAACTCCATGGACCATGGCAAAATAGCCCAGGAGAAACCACCGCTCCAATGTACACCAGGCGTAAAAGTTACAGTAAAACTTATTTTCTTCCAAATTTGCAAAAATGCACACCCCACCTACCAATTTATAATCCACATAAACCATCGAAAAGATAAGACTGTCAAGCATAGAATGTCACAAGAACCGTTGTAGCTACTCAAGGGAAGGGAATTTTCTAGGTGTATAGAGTTAGCAAACTCTTTCAAATGATAATTTTCCGCTAAATAGTCGCTAATTATAGTTGTGAAAGAAAAAAGTTTGTTGTTTCTTATTGTTAAAAGTTAATGAATGTCTTGCTGACTTAGTATAAGTTAGCAAAACACCTAGGGCGATTGTTATTAAAAGATAATGTTTGACAACAATTACCTTGATAGGAATTTGCCGTTAATTTGATGTGACAGAATGACAATGCGCGAAATTGCGACAAATGAAGATTTATCCCCCTCCATGGGGTGTTTTGCTGCGGATCCCCAAAAAGTCAGTTCTTTTGCGAATAGGTCGGGAAATTTCATTGCGGAAAAGTCTCCAAGTCTACAACTAATTCACTCGGGAGGGGAACGCCTAATTTCTACTAGTAATTCGTGCACGATAAATGAAATCTTACCCCCTTTCAGGGGTTTGCTTCTGCGAATTCCCTTAGAATCATTTTTTCGCAAACAACCAAGGAAATTTTGTTATGGAAAATTCCGTATGTCGACGGGGTAAACCACAAATTCCCACGATTAATTCACGCGCGAAAAATACAGTCTTACACCCTCCGAGAGTGTTTTGCTATGAATTCCTAAATAAACGCTTTATTTGTGAAAGGGTTGGGGAATTTTATTGTGAAAAATTTCGCACGGGGTGAACGGCAAATTGCCACAACTTTCGCGTAGGGGTGTTTTGCTGTGAATCCCCAAGAAATTACTTCTTGCAAATAAATCGGGAAAAGAATTCGCAAAAGAAGTGACTTTTTGGGGATTCTCAGCAAAACATCCCAGGAATGCGATAACATTTATTACAAATATATGGCGTGGGCGTTTCTCGTGGGAAAATTCACCCCGGGCGAATTACATATAGTGTTGAGGAATGTTCCTCGATAAAATCTCCTAATGTATTCGCAAAAGAAGTGATTTTTTGCAGCTAAACACCCCCTGATAGCGGGTAAAACTCATTTATCGCTTGCCACTCATTCGTGGGTATATAACGTTTACCCCGAAAGAAGTAATTGTGGATATAAGGAATTTTCCGTGATATAATTTCCCGATTTATTCGCAAAAAAAGATTTTTTGGGGTTTCACAGTAAAAAACGCTAGATGGAGTTAAGGCTTCATTTATTGTGTCCGAGTTTCTCGTGGGAATTTGCCGTTCATATTTGCAAAAGATGTGGTTTTTAGGGATTCGCAGCGAAACACCCCGGAGAGGGGTAAGACTTCGTTTTCAGCACGAAAATTACTCGTGATGCTTTGCCGTTCATCCTGTGTCAATTACTTGTGGATATAGGGAACTTTTTCGCACTAAAATTTCTCGACCTATTTACAAAAGAAATGATTTTTTGAGGATTCGTAGCAAAACACCTCTGGAAGGAGTTAAGACTTTATTTATCGCACCAGAATTACTCGTAGGAATTCGCCATTCACCCAGGGTAAATTAGGTGTAGACTTAGGGAATTTTCCGCAATGAAATTTCCCGGCTTATTCGCAAAAAGTTCGACTTTTGAGGGTTTCGCAGAATTTTCTGTATAAGCATGCTTAATGTTGACAAATAAAATGTTAAATGCTGGAAAACATATACAGGGTTTGTCCGGAAAGTAATAGGACTGATTTCCTTCCACCGCGACTGGATTCGGTAGAGGGCATTCCTACCAAAATCTGTGGTTCATGACATTGTGACGGAGCATTTGAACATGCGCAAGGTGTGCGCAAAGATGGTTCCAAAAATGCTCACTGACGACCAGAAATTGCGGCGAGTAGAAGTGTGCCAAGAAAATTTAAACATGTGTAAAAGTGACCCCCAATTTTTGAATAACGTAATCACAGGTGACGAGTCATGGATCTTTGAGTATGATGCCTAGACAAAGAGGCAATCTTCCGAGTGGCACACGCCGGCGTCTCCTCACCCAAAAAAGGGAAGAATGGGCAAATCCAAAGTGAAAACGATGCTCATTGTCTTTTTTGACATGAAAGGCATCGTCCACCATGAAGTTGTTCCTCCTGGACAAACCGTCAACGCCAAGTTTTCCGTGGAAGTGCAGAAGAGACTCAAACGAAGGGTCAATCGGGTCCGACAAGACATCGCAGCCAACTGGAAGTTGCTCCACGACAACGCCCCGGCTCACACCGCCTTTCTTGTGGACAGCTACCTGACCAAGGCCGGCATCCCAACGCTTCCGCAGCCGCCCTACAGCCTCAAAAAGGCCGATGAAAGGCAAGCATTTTGAGATGACAGAGGGAATCCAAGCAGCATGCACCGCGGCTCTTAACGAACGCTATTCCGGAGAATGCCTTCCGTGACGCCTTCAATGCTCGAAAATGGCACTGGCAGCGCTGCATCGACGCACAAGGAGCCTATTTGGAAATTTTTAAAGAATTGTAACGATTGGCTTAATAAATTTTTTTAAATCGACTCAGTCCTATTACTTTCCGGATAAACCCTGCATATGTACACTCAGAGAAAAGAATGCAACGTATTATTTATCAAAAAACCTTTAAAATTGAAATTTAAGGCATTACGTTTTAAAACGAACGATGTGATTAGAACAAATAGTAATGCTAATACTTTAACGTGAAATCATTAAAAAAAAATTCTTAGTAAAAAAAGTTCAAAATAATAGATAAGATGAGTTACACGCCATTAGATCAAGAAATACTTTTGTACAAGGAGTTGGGACAATTAATCATTCCAGACACTACTGCCAACGAAGAGGACAATTACAAATTGAAAAAATTACCTCAGCTGAAATGAAATCGAAATAGGAGAAAATGTTATTATTAACAAAGAGGAAATCGATTTTAGTGGAGCTTTTTTAACAACATAAAATGAAATTTTAAAAGTTACTAAATTTTCCTTATCGGTCAGGTTTCGTGAAAAACATAAAAGAAGCTTGTATTTGACTGCATTTATTAATAAAAAATTGAAACTTGTTAAAAGTGTATATGCGATTCATTTATGTTATATGCAAGGATATGATTTAAGGATTTTACTTATATAAATATTCTATAAGTTGTATTAAACATCCTAGTGTAGATTTGCTGTTGTTTCTGAAAATACCTGCTATTAACATTGTGTTTTACCTAAGTCAACTGTTTTTGGTGTTTTTTTTATTTTTAATTTNATTAATATAAATTAAAGTTAACTATTAATTAATAAGTATAGTTCAATTACCTACTCAAAAATAAAGCACGAATTGCAAAAATTAGACAACATAGTTACTCCCTTTACAACCAGTAATACGCTAGCCAAATTTGTAAAAAATAATAAAGATAAAGGATTACAATCTGGAGTTTATTTATTGGAATGTGGGGACTGTAATCAAGTCTATGTGGGACAAACTGGGAGATCCTTCAATCAAAGTATTACAAACACAGGAGGAGCTATACCAATGGGAAAGCAGAAAACACACTTTTAATGATAATTTTCAAATTTTAAAAGAATTACCAAAAATCCATAGATGAAAGTCTTTATATTAATGAATACAATAAATTAAATATTTTACTAAATGATCAAATTGATGTGAATAGTTCTCCATTATTAAATTTAAATTTGTCTTCAAAAACTTAATGTCTTACCTTATCCCTCCCTTTTGTTGTTTCCACCCCATAAAATTTGTAAACTTTTAGTATTTATGCTAATTTTGTAACAATTTCAAACAGAAGAAGACAATATTATGGTAAAACAATTGTTGTGAACAATTTGTATATATTTTTGAAATTTTAATTGATTACTAGACAAGTTGTATCGCAAAATAATGAAAATAATGGCAATTCCACTAAATTGACGAAAACAGGCTTAATGACTCGACATCTTGGATTTTAGGTTTTTCGAACGTTTTCATGTGAATTTAGGGTTTGCTCGCTGAACAATCCATCGAATTTTCTTGTACAATATATAATTTAACTAAAACTGTAGGCGAACTAATATCTATTAATTTAAAAAATATATGAAACTCGTTTAGAAATGAACAGTGCTGTTCACAAAAATCACTTAATTTAATGCACCCTCTTGTTATCATTTGGAAGAGTGATTAACGCAAATTATCAAATCGTCACGTTTCCGATAAATACCCATGCAATTATCGTTCAGAAAATAAATTTATTTCACTTACCTTCATGCCTATTCATATGTTGGAAACGAAAATCAGGAATTTTTATTCAGATAGCACAGTCAACTCCAATTTCATAATATGACCGCAGGACTTCCAGTTCTTCAGTTTTGATATCCTTCATCTGCAACAACCAATAACTGAATTACTCCGAAGCTTATCTCTTAATCCATTTAAAATTGAGGTAGTACACAATCTCGTTATTTGTTTATCAATTCATATATTTTGCACAATAATTTATTAACAATCAAACTCACCACTAACTCACAGTTTCAATAGCAATATTTGATGATTACAAAACAATTTTTAATAATGTGATAAAATGGCTGCTAAAAGCAACGAAAAATTACAAACGTCGTGTTTAAACAATGAAAATGGACTGAGTATTAAATAATGACCCACAGTCGGGCAACATCGTGACCTACGAAATAAAATAAATGACGAATAGTTATCGTATAAACTGATTGTCCTTTGTCTGAACTTGGTTGTTTCAAGTATCAACAAAAAAGAGGCTCTTGTATACGTATTTATATGATAATATAATATACGTATACTCATATAAAAAACACATTATTAATTTTCTTTGTTAATGTTGGGCCAATTATAGGTATTCTTATATTATTGAGGAAATTAATTTGTGGTAATTCGTAGTAGATAAACATTAAATGAATTTTCATATTAATGTTATACTTTAAACTTAAGAATACAATATTATTACAGTAGATAACACAAAAAAATCTAGCAAGGAGGACCTAGAGATGGCTTTAAATAAAATGGAAGCGGTACTGACAGATCAGTACTGTATGAAAATAAATAAAAGTAAAACTAAAATACTGATATGCAAGGGAAGAAAAAGTAGGGAAACAGCGAATATAAAGATAGGAGACGAAAAATTAGAAAAAGTGGCTGATTTTAGATACCTAGGAAGTCAGATAAGCGAGGATGGAAGAAGTAGTAGGGATATAAAGCAGAGGATAGCGCAGGGTCGTGTCGCCTTTAATAAAAAGAAATCACTTCTATGCTCGCGAAAAAAAAAATTAGAAATTTGAAAAAGGTTGTTAAAGGTATATGTTTGGAGCACGGCGTTGTACGGGTGCGAAACATGGACAGTGGGAGCGGCGGAAAAGAAAAGGATAGAAGCGTTCGAAATGTAGTGTTATAGGCGGATGATGAGGATATCGTGGGTAGAAAAGGTTAGAAATGAGGAGGTATTGGAAAGAATAGGAGAACAGAGGACTCTATGGAAGTCAATAAAACATAGGCGAGATAGGTTGGTAGGACACCTTCTCAAGCATGAAGGTCTAGTCAGAGACATATTAGAGGCAGAAACAGGAGTTAGGAGGGGTAGAGGTAGACCTAGATTAGATTACTGTTCGCAAATAGTTAAGGATGAGGGCTGTTCTAGTTTTAGGGAAATGCGAAGTTTAGCTCCGGATAGGAAAGAGTGGAGGTACGTGTCCAACCAGTCTTAGGACTGATGACCTTATGATGATGATGAACACAAAATGTTTACTGAACATCGAAATTGCACATTTTTCTTCATATATCGGAGGAGTGAAATAGCACAATTTGGTGAAAGTGTAGAATATGTTTTTTCAATTATGTCCATCTGAAAATACTTCCTGCTTCTTTGAATCCTGCCCTAAAATAACCGAACTTTCAGAATTTTTTGAATAAACAGTAACACCCTTCAAAATTCGTATTTATTTGGACTTATATTACTTTATTATTTTATATGAAAAGATGACTGAAGGTATTTGAACGCATTTTCCTGTAGATACCACTACGTACTTATTTTTCAAAAGATGATGCTGCCCTTTGATGATTGAGTGCTCAATTTTCAATTCGCTTATTGTACTAAATGTGGTGGACATATAATAAGGACAAAAAAAAAGAAGAAAGACTGGAATAGAATAACAAAATGATAATACGAGAGAGCGGATTTATATGCAAGAGTAGGTATAAAAAGAAAAAGGAGAAAACATAACTGAAGAGTGGGTAAAGAAGAAAACAGAACAGGTAGAGAAATAACGGGAAGAACGAATAAAAAATTCATATTTTGCAAAAAATTTTACAGGTAAGGCAAATGGTCACTCAACAGGGAAACATAACCTGTCAATCCTTCCGGACAAAATCGATTTTGATGAAAATTTCTTATTCCCTTATTTAAAAGCTAGATGCTCCTGGTGTGCGCTTTTTATGTCAATCACTGGACTAAATGAAATATACCAAGTATAGAAAAAATACTGGGAGGATCAGAAGAAGGAAAACAATGGATGATGAAAATAAATTAGGTTTTTTAAAGATGTACTCGTAACTAAAGCAGTGATGTATCGCGAAAAGGAACTCACTATTTTAATTAAAAAAAAATGGTGGTAATGTGTTAAAATCACAAACAACCGTTTCGTAAATCTTCAAATTAATTCAACGTAGACACAAACTTCAGGTGGTTTCTGTTTGTTATTTTAGCATTAAACGAGGATTGTAGTGAGAAATATATTAATTATATTTTACGTAGGTGCTGTTGTTTACTTCGGAGCCACATAGAAATGCGTATAATTACGATCATTTTGAGTAGGTAAACGTGTAGTCAGGAGTAAAGTCAAAACATTTTGCTATTATTTTGCTTAATTAGGAAGTTATTCATGTTTTCTACCTACCTACATGGCTTATTTTGACGCGTCCTTAATCGTCAGTTTTTATCTTTCCGTATAGCTTATTAAATAGGTTTATTATATTGTAATATTTCTGTAATTTAATGAAATTCTTGTTTCCTTGGGTTCTACTGATAACACAGCCATTATCACTAATATCAGTCTTAAGACTGGTTGGATACGCACCTCTTCTACTTTTTCCTATCCTGAGCTAATTTTCGCATTTTTATAAATAAATTAACATAAAGATTTTCAACAGTGTTTGCGTGACTTTTCGATCCGAACTATAGGTAGGTGGAAATTACAGAAGAAATGAAAACTAAAAGCTTGCGTGAAACCAGTAAAAGAAAGCTTCGGAATAAGAAGTTGTACTTCTAAAGATGAAAATGAACAAAATAGTATTGGCCAATCGTCGAATCACCATTAGAGAAGTTGCTGAAGACCTAAACATATCAATTGGCTCCTGCCATTCGATTTTTACCAATGATTTGGGCATGAGACGGATCGCCGCGAAATTCGTACCAAAATTGCTCATCTTCGACCAAAAACAGCATCGCATTAACATTGCTAAGGAGCTGTTGGACTCTGTCCACGACGACCCAGATTTGTTGCCGAGGGTAATAATTGGTGACGGATTATAGGTTTATGGTTATGACGTGGAAATCAAAGCTCAATAATCCCAATGGAAGCTGTCGCATGAGCCAAGATAGAAAAAAGCGCACCAAGTTAGGTCGAACGTAAAGGTTTTGCTTACAGTTTTCTTCGATTGCAAGGGCGTGATGCATCATGAGTTGGGTTGCCACCTTTTCAGGCTTTACATAAAGTATTTCTCGACTAAAAGGTTAAAAAAAAAAGTACTCAGCATAAAAATAAAGTATTTTATTTTTAGTTTTTAAAAAATATTTTTTGTTACACCTAGCAGCCAGTAACAAACTGCTGTCGCCCTTAAATACATTAATAGCCTCTAAACATGGCAAACAAAGACTTAAGTAAACTTAAAGTTCATTTTTAATTAGTTTTAATGAAGCTTTATTCCTGTCGTCCCGTCACTTTGCGTTCATAACAGAGAATACTCTTTCTGTAAATGCTGAAGTGGCCGGAACGGATAGCAAAAGTGACACTACTTTGAACAGATTTGGGAAATCAGGTTGTTCCGTAAATATGGCTTTCCATTTTTCTGTGTAATACTATTGATGTAAAAATACTCTGAATTTAGAATAATCGCTTACAAAATTACGATGTTTACTTAAGGCCTTAAATAAAGTATTTTTGCGTACTTTATGTGTCTTGTAAAGTATAACGTACGCACAGTCGAAATAGAGTGCAATACTTTATAATAAAGTATGGGTGGCAACCCTTGTCATGAGTTCTTGCCACAAGGTAGAACGGTCAATAAGGAATATTTCCTGCAAGCTATGAGCAATTTGCGCGAAGCAATCCGCCAGAAATGCTCGGATTTGTGGAAGAACAAAAATTGACTTTTGCTCCATGATAACGTCCCTGCTTACACATCGTTGCTCGTTCGCGAATTTTTAGCCAAAAACAACACACTAATAATGCAGCAGCCACCGTATTCCCAAAATCAGGCCCTTGTGACTTCTTCTTATTCCTGAAACTGAAGAGGCCCATGAAAAGACGACGGTACGCTACGATTGAGGAGATAAAGACAGCATCGAAGGAGGAGCTGAACAAGATCACAAAAAATGATTTTTTGAAATGCTTGGAGGATAGGAGAAAACATTGGCACAAGGGTATAATATCTAGTGAGAATTACTTTGAAGGGGACAAAATAGATATCCATGAAGAAATACATAATTTTTGAAAATATACAAAATTTGCCATACTTTTTAAACAAACCTCGTGCATAGTCAGACTCCCAAGTCAAAAAGTTTTTTTTTGACTGGTTATGATAATTTTACACGATATATTGTGGGTTCATCTACCTATAACCATAAAAGGGTTTAGGACACAAGTACGCCTTTATACAAAGGGGTTCTACTGAGTTTGTTACAAATCCCTTCACAAAGGACCATGAAATAACAGCCAATGCCTAATTTGTTTGTCCAATAGACCGTCAAGCTTCTTTATTAATGTTGCCAGCGCTAACTTTATCCCAACCGAGTAAAAAACCGAGCAAGCAAGTAATGAATTACCCTTTGTACCTTCGACATGCACCTATAAGCGTATGTACATGGACATTACGTGTGATACAAGGCCTTTTAGTCAGCTGTCACACTTCATAGCACATAATCACAATCAATGTTGCCACCTGCTTTGATCACGTTCAGCACCCATCGTCAAGATATCTGGTTGGCAACTGTGCGTGGATAACAAATGCATCCAATGCCTCTTCCCTTTGAGATATCGCATTATCAAGCAAACGTGGTAAGGGTGAGCACTTTGAAGCCGCAGCTTAAAAGTGTTAAAATAACACAAGGGGTGGCTGACGCTCACCCACGGATTTTTTATTGGTTAAATGAACAAATGACTAATGAGGTGGAAAAAAGAGATGGGGTTATACATCCCTACTTAAAAACAATATGGACGCATTAGTACTCCTGAAAAATTAAGGGAGAAGAAAGTACACGAAAAAAAAATAGAACTCAGTAATATACATTAACATCAGAGATGTGATTTATTTTATATACTTGCATTTAAAATGCAAATACAAAATAAAGAATACCTATTTTTAACTTGCATATAAATA